AAGTATAGTTTGATAATTTGATTTCCAGATAAAGTTGAAATACAAAGCAAAGGAACTAATTTTAAGCCACGTTTCACGTTAGATGTGTTGGTTTTGTTTAAAAAACACAAATCGATTTTCTGTGGAGGTTTCGTAATATGATGGGAACTAAAACCACAAAGCTTGGTCTTCTTCAGAAGATATGCCTTTGTAGTGTTTCTTTTCGACTATTGTCGAAAACATGAAGTTCATTGATCCACACTTTCAAGATGATGTCCATATTTTTTTTATTGTTTCAATAGTAATCTAGTGTTGTAGCTAAATAGGTAATAAGCAAGTAGATAAAATAGGTAGTATTGTAGAGAAATATACATATTATATAAACAAAAATAATAAAAAATCTATAATACAAAGGTGGGCTGAATGCTCTCCCTAATGACGTTATGTTAATATTACTTACACAGGTAACGCTTACTACGTACCTTATAATTACCACACATATTCGTTAAATCTAGTTGTTAGTTTGACAAAGGTGCGGTGAAGTTAATCATTAACGCTTAAGGATCTATTAACATTCCCTTTGGCTATTGTTTGAGCTGTCGGTTATATTGTTGGGTTAGTTGCTATGAATTATTCATAGATTAAGGGCTTGTCTATTAACTGTCTATTCAGTGGGTCTACAATGCCCTTTTAGTTGTAATGCCCTTTTTTAGGGAATAGTAGTTGACATGTGAGGATAAATTTTTTCTGGCTTGTTTTCCTGAGACATCCAGAAAATAAATTTTACTTGCAAGTTCTGATACTTACTGGGTCAATCCATTTGAAATCACCCAGAGCTCATTCATTTTGGATTTTTATAATTTTTTACCAGTTTTTCCATATTTATTTGGGAGTTCAAATAATTAAACACATTATTAAGGCTTACAGTTTTTGAATTTGCTTTTGGCTGAAAACATGTTTTAGGAAAACAAGAAGTAAAATGCAGTAACTGATTGAGGTTTTAATTTTTTTTTATTTAACAACGTTAATTACTTTGGAAGAAAAAGACAAAAAAAAGTACATGAAATTATATTTAGGTGGTCTTTTAAAGCATGTTAAGAATAAAAAACAAAAGTATATACCGTATTCAACGCACAACATTATTTTCACTAGGATATATTTCAAATCCTTTAATTAGTTAAAATAATCTCCATTCCAATTAATTAAATTTCTATTCACACAAATATATATATATATATATATATATATATATATATATATATATATATATATATATATATATATATACATCTGACGGCGTTTCAGCCTCATTTGCTTATCTTTAAGTCCAAAATACACATCTGTAAATATATAACAAATATTATTATTGTATAAAACTTTTATCTACACACCAAACAATTTTTTTTTCAATCACTATTAACAAAAAAATATGAAACTGATTATTTAACACATGATTATTTAACGAAGCTTTTTCATAATTATTTTTGTCTAACTTGAAAAAACTCAAAATAATAACTGACCGAAAAACATATTTCATTAAAAAATTATGGTGCACACTTGTAATAATAACTTCATGGTCGTCAATAAAATTTAAATTCTCTGAAATTTAGTTCAATTTCGTCAATGCATTATTGGTTCTATAATATTCCATAAGATTATTCTTTTGTTATATTTCTTTTCTGTAATTGTTTAATTTATATTAAGTAATTTATGAATAATTTTGTGGAGGGATACAGCCAGAAATTTTTTATCCTTCCTCTCTGAATTTACATTAGTAATAAATATAAAACAGTATGAAAAATATTTATGTAAAAATTCACAAAATGTAATTATTCAACGTACATATTTGTTGTTTGATATATTTTTTTTTAATTTTAGCTAGTGTTTTAAACAATTTTAGTTTAAACGGATTTTTTTTTTTTTCAGTTTCAGTGAATAGTCGGTTCGTTTGACTTAACGTACAATTTACCCCGAAATTCTGATCTTAATTTTTTATTTTCATAGAGAAAGTGTTATTCAAATGTTATTCAGAAATATATTGAAATTAAGTATGAATGTTTTTTTTTTTAATTTATTTATTTATTTCACTTATAATTTATTTAATTTTGCTATGAATTTCTGTATTTTATTTAATTTCAAGTTCAAGTTACATTTCTTTGGTTTTATTATGGTCTGCTTATATAGATAAATCTTTTTGTATTGTATATATGGTATGAATGTGCCTCAATCAGTTCTAGTACTCAGTGCCGTTAAGTGTGGCCAAATGTACTATTTCTCTTTAAAGAGATTAGAAAAAGAAAAGAAAAAAATAAATCAGGAATCCGATTGTCGAATATATTTTGTACGCTTTTCTTTTTACTTTAACTATAGTTATTATGAGTGGCTTCAGGATGGCTTATAGTTCGGAAAGGTAATCGAAGGGGAAGCCTATACACGACCTTTGAAGGGCCTCTCTCAATTTAAAAGTATCTTTAAAGGCAGGAAGGGGGACCGGAAAAGGTTGCCCCGATAAGGAGGGGTGCGGTGGCCAGCCAAACCAAACCGAACAAACCAAACATTGCCCGCAGCCACCAGTTGGCTCAGTCCATGTCCTTCTATGTCAGTCTGCTCTCTAATGCTATGCTCTTAGCCAATCCTTATGAAACGGCTCAAATTTGGATTCCTCGCCGTGTTTTTTTTTCCATCCATATAGGGCCTAATTGAGTCGGTGCAAATAATGATGCCTGTATTGTGCAATACGTTTCCAAGATTCCAAAGCTCATAAAATTGGGTCAGTTACGGAGACCAAATTACTCATCCCTGGTTTGATTAGATAACTTCGATGCTTGACAATATAAAGCTTTTGATTATTAATTGTCTTACTGATATATTTGTGTTCCGTATGATCGTGAGGTGAATTTATTCGAATTAAAAGAATCAAACATTCACTGTTTTATTATTTGTTACAATAACTAGGAAAAATATAATTTTTATTTATTTTTTTTGTGTACAGTAAAGGTGTCCATGTGTACTGAAGACCGGAAGGTTATTAAGGTTCCTTGATAAATTATTAAACATCATCGTGAGATGAATTTATTATATTATGCAGGAATTAAGTCTCCACACCTTAATTCGCCATTACTGTGGTAGAGTCTTATTATTATTGATATTTATTAGTAAATCGACTGTTTATTAAAAATCTCATTTTTTTTTCTCTTTTGGGTGTTAATTGATGTTTAAGTTAAAATTGGAAATAATAGTTATAACAATAATGTATTGCTGAACACCGGTAGGGATGTTAGTTGCCTCCTTTCTTAATATACAATCGATTTTAAAAAAGACAAAAAACTGTCGTGAAGGATTTGGAGTTGATTCTTCCCAATCCCAGGAAAATACCTTTTTGAAAGATTTAAAAATCAATCATACTATAAAATAGTAAGAACAACAATAAAATGGATGCATGCATTTGTCTGCTATAAACTCACAAACCGTCCGATTAAATGTGCTCAAATTCCCAGTCAAACTTCATATTATTCATTGAAGGTGTCCTTGTGAAGGATGATTGTTTGGTTATGGTGGATTATCTAAGAGTAGAAAATCCTTCGCTAGTGTAATAGCACGGCTTTCCATAAAAATAATTGTGGGTTGATAAATACTATTATTTATTTTTACCATTTTTATTTTTGACTGATCACTCCAACTATCCTTCTTTTCATTCCATAAAAATAGTTTGGTTTCACTTTTAATATAGAACAGGGACTAACTTTTAAGCATCTTGGAGTCGAGTATTCCCCCAGACTGTATGTTGCCTTAGCAACTTAACACTTTCTTCGTGTGAAAGAAGGAGCTGCAAAATTAATCTTGCCCCACATTATAAAAACTCCTAGTTTGCTTATTCACATTACATGCAAAAAAATATCATCGATTTTTTATTAGTTATTTAATTTCATTTAATGTAATTTATTGACTATGGATTTATGTTTATGTATTATGGATAATTTATTGAAAAAGATGGATTATTTTGATCGTGATGTGACTTTGCACCATCTTCTCTTACATACTCAATACGCTATTTGGATCAATTTTTTAAAGACATATTTATGTTTATCTTTTCTTAATGCGCATGTATGCCTTCTTAGACGAAGATTTCAGAGAAACTTATTTTATATTCTTCGGATGATAATACACTGACAGGCGAAAAATTCCACCCACTTGTTACCCATTAAGGAACCACGTTGGAAAGGTTGGATCTGGGAAAATTTACGGGCTGCATATCTTTCGTAAAATTCTCAAAGTAAAAAACCGGTCATCCCGTGGTTCTGTTACCCTAGGCCGTCCAGAACTGGGATTTCTGTTGTAAGAACCAGTTTCCCGAAAACGCCTGACGGCGTCTCGTAAAGTTTCATATGAAACTCCGATGGCATTAGCTGCATATCTAATGGAACGTCCATCATCAATAAGTGCCACACCACGCGCAACATCCTCAGCACTAAGAGGCATTTTTAAACTTAATATTGAAAAAATTAAAAGCCGGAGACTAAGAAAGGTGCTGCAAGAAACGGCGCTGAACTAATGATACTGAATAAACATTCCATTGAATTTCCATAGAAAGTAAACATTGCAATCTAGAATCATTTCATTGAATTAAGGATTAAGGGTTATTGTCCTCTATATTAACGTTCTTAATTGAAAACAAACAAAAATATTACCTATTTATTCATTAAAAACAATAGACCAATCCAAAGCAGAAATATTTTTAGATGAAAACATGAAAAAATCAAGTGGGTGGAATTTTTTGCCTGTCAGTGTATATACACATGGGTAAATAGTTCCTGATAAGCTTCTTAGAGATACCTCGACCAGCATTTTTTCTGAATGTAGCTTTACCGTTTACCAGAAATTCGTACTACCTGCGACTCATTGAGGTAACAATGGGGAGTCCATTGAGTAGACGAATGACCCAGGGGTTCAACGCCGATACCCTCTGTGTTGTGGCGTGGTGGGGGCCGCGGGAAAAAAACTTCCCTCGCCAGTCTAGGCCCGGCTCTTGCCTGGTTCCACAGTGGATTATTGTAGTGCTGTTTCTGTGCTCTTCATCGTCGAGTTTGTGCTGGATTTCCCTTATCTTAGGTACTAAATAACCCTTTAAATAATATATCTTGCTCTATAAATAATTTTCATTTTCAGCTATTAACATTGTAAAAATAATAGTTTCACGTCTTCGTTTTTATAATATTTAACAACTTTAATTTATTTTTTATGGATATTTTAAGCATTTTAAATTATGCCGCTTCCTTTATTAAAATAAATTAAATAAATGTCTCATTTGTTCATAAATATAACCTACATTTCGTATTAAATTAACTTTTATTAAGATTAAAATATTTTATGATTTTATTCAAATTTAAAACTTTTAATATTATCAACAAATTATGTCAGTTTATATAAATAACCATCACGCTCATTTTTAATGATGGTTTGTGACGACGCATTGATGAATTTTACTATCAACTGTTTTCTTTATGAATACATAAATTTTCAATTTACGGGCATTTGTAATAATTCTTGATCTTAGACCCTTTTTTTCTTTAAATATAGGCTTAAGATATATTCATATCAGCAGACAAGTTATATATAATATTTATTTATAATACAAACAAAACTAAAATATACCAAATATTTAAACATATATTTTAATTGGAGTATATGTTCTGTTAGATGCATTTGACATAAAAATTGGGTATATTATTAACATATAAATTGTTATTAATTGGTATTTAAATGGACATGAAATTTTGTTTAATGTATCAATTGATTTTTTTTTTTTCATTGTTTTATTCGAACGTTAGTACTAAAGTTTAAATAAACATCATTGGAATCTGTAAATATTTATTATGTTTACATAAATTAATTTTATCAATTATATAATATTATTTATTGTTAATTCCATGAAATTTCTGTTATCAATGTTTTGTTTTGTTACATGGCTTAATACTTATCATATCAATAATACGATTTAGTAAATCAGGTAACTTGTGCTATAAATTAGTAGATAATTAATAATCCTGGTATTTGTCAATAAAATATATGTCTTCTTTTTTTTTAATTTAATGTTACTGATTAAAATATTATTTTTTTAAATAAAAATCCAGGACTATGTGATAATAACATATTTAAATGTTCATTTTATACGTTTAACACAATTGATTATTCATTCAATCTATATTATATTATAAGCCTCATATGCTTTATTCTTTATTAGAATTTTATTTATTAATTAATTATGATTATGATGAGGTATCGACAATACGGTAAAGTTTTTTATACAATTATGTTACTTAATATCGTTCCATTATTTATAAATAAAGTGTGTTTTCATAAACAAGTTATGTATGCGTTTAAAATTATAAAACTATTTGTTCATTAGTAAAATTCAACCAGTTTTTGTTTATAACCACTGTTTAAATTTGCTTTTGGTTATTTAAATTTGAAACCCTCGCAGCACCCAAAATTCTGGTGTCAGTCTCTCAAGAATTTATAGTTCATTAATTTATCTGTTGATATAAATACTATTATTCTATAATAGTATTGGGAAAATATCAAATTAGGGATTGAGTGTTTAGTTAAACAATTATTTTTGACAAAAAAAAATATAACACTACATAATCAATTACTCCCTAGAGATGAATAAAATAATGTTAATAGCTTATCTGACGGTATAATTTTATTGTTATTACATGCAACATTTAATTGATCCTTAAATATTATATTATTAATATTATATTTAATTGATAATTTTAAATCAATATTATTAAAACATGACTTGAATAATTTAAATTGGATATGAAAATTGTGTTACTCTAATATTAATCTGGAAGTTAACTGCGTGCTTCAGTTGAATTTTTTTTGTTCTATGTACCATTCTTTTTTTTTTTTTTTTTAATAACAATTTAATTGTCAATAGTTTTTTATTTTAAAAGCTCGTCGCCCGTGAATTTCCCCTAAGACAGATTCCCGTGGATCCTGTTTCATAACGATCTGATTGTTCTGTTGTTTATCAATTTACTTTGTTTACGAGTCAGCCCACGATTACTTATTTTAAACGTTACAATACAATTACTGTTTTGTTTAGAATTGTACGAGATCTAATGGGAATTTTACGGTCTTCCATTAATGTTTTTATTACAGAGCTATCGGTAAGGTTCTGTTTCTGTTTACATTATAATTTTAGTTACATATATAGGACGCTTAATTTAAACCCTCTTTATTCATAAGATTAGATTGTATTTAAGTTTAGATATTTTTTATTAAAATTATACTGTAAAAATAAAGAAAGATAAATCAAAACATCAGTCAAATGTTTATGAATATGCAGTACAGGAAATTGCGTATGCCAAAACAAATATAGTTGCATGTCAATAAAAAAAAAAAAAAAAACAATAGAAAAGACTACACCGTTCTCACAATACATATTTTCAAATTTGAATCCCTCAAGATAATACATCGCAAAACAAATCATTTTAAACGCGATGTTACGATAGAAAGATATATGAATCGCGGTAAAAACAGAAAATCAGATGTCCGAAATTTAAATACTTATTATTATGGTTTAATTCTATTAACTAACTCAAATGATGAAAAATACTCTTTATTAATATATCAATTAAATTATCTACAATTCAAATAGAAATGAAGAAACAAGATTCGGAAATACTTAAGAATCCAACTTGCTGCCTAATCCTTTATTTATTTCATACTTGATATGCTTATATGGGTACTTGATATATTACACTTAATCTACTTATATTTCAATAGTTACAGTTCATTCTAAATAGAGGATGCATATAAAAATTGAGAATATAGTGTATCCTAATTACTAGTAATTTTGGTATTTTAAAATTATTTAAAAAAAAAAAGTCTATAAACCTAGTTTCCTTCATTGTAGTTTCTTTCATTGCTAAAATATAGTTTCATATTATTAAGATTTAACTTCAATATTCTTAGAAAATATATATTATTTAACCGTAATTTTTTTTAATTTTAATACTTTTTATTTAAATTTAACAATTTATAAGCAAATTTGAATAGATTAAAAAAAAAAAAATTATTTCTTTGTTTATGGCCTTTTTATTGAAATGTATAGCATATTTCTAACATAAAACTGCGTATTTGAATGAAGAAATATATTTAACTTACCATAGTTATCAGTCCATCGGACGTAATGAAACCAATCCATTTAAGTAGGATACTTAACTCATTATAGTCAAAATATGAATTACTTATTTACTTATTAAAACACTTTATTCAGAAATATTACAATTTGTCACAGTTAAGGACACTTATAATAGAGTTCAGAGATTGCATTCATACCGTATATACAAAAATGTAAATAAATAAAGTAATAACAAAAGAATAAGAAGAAAGAACAAAAGAGTAAAGAAAAAGAAAATATATATATATATACACATAAGTAAATAAAAATAGAAATGAAAGTAAAACAAACACCTTATATAAAACATACATTATTTACAATTTGCCAGGTGATCTCCGAACCAATCCTGTCCCCTCCACATGTGGAGGGAAAAGGGAGGAAAATATGAATTAAGTGTTTTTAAAAATTATATTTACTTTGTTAAAATGATGCCCCCTTATTATGGTGGGTGCAGATACTTAACAATACTACGAACTCCACTAATGATTTTAATGTTTAATGATTTAGCAATGTAAAAATTATTTTTTACTAAGTTATTAATTTTATAATTTTTAAGAGTGCTTATGTTCCAGATAGGTTCTTATTATAATTGGTAGCAATTTTTTTTTCTTTATTGAATAATATAACATTCTATCACTTACACAATGATTATGGGGAGGTAAAATAAAATAAACAGAAACAAATAACAACTAATTAATAATCAAAAAATGTATAATAAATAAAATAAAATGACTTAAAGAGAAATAATAAAAATATAACAGAAGATAACGTTGATTAACAATTAACAATATATATTTTTTTTAATTTTATTTACATCATGAGATTGGTACTTAGTTTGAATTTCACCAACCTTTCTATTTTTAAAGCATTTATTTACTTCAATTCATAGAACACTCTCATTAAAGTGTTTAATGGGTAATAAACTTGTGAATGAAACTATCTGAGACGTAAAATAGTTAGTGAATGTTTTTATAAAATCTTGCCCTGGGACTTATATTTATATCCGATATACATGACAGAATAAGATTTAAAAAAAAGAAGTAGACTAATTTTGAATATGATGATTGAGATTGTAAAAATATATCACAAAGATAAATTATATAAACATAAAATATGTGTGGGTATTATAGAAAGTATTTGAGTGAAATACTTAGTATTTAGTATTAATAATTTTGTATTTCATAATAGTTGAGTTCGAATTATAGTTTATTTAATTGACCATATCTTAGTGCGTAATTAGTCATTACTGCCTTGACAACATCAAATTATACATAATTTCTTCAAATTATTAAATTAAATTTCAGTTGGTGCTACGTAATCATTTAGATAAAAATATGGTTATTAATTATAAGTATTCGTTTTTCAAAGTTTTATTTATGCAATACTTTAATAGTTCTATGAATTATTTTAATTAGAACTTAATTGAAAGTCTAAAATACATTTTCATCTCCTTTTGTTGATGCCTGTTCACACACCAGCGATCACGAAACCGGAATATCTCGAACCGTTGGCAACGAGTTCAGACAGCGGCATAATTTTTATAAAAATAAATATTATATAAATAAAATGTCTGAAAATGAATAATATGCCAGGAAAGTGTCATTTCTAAGACCAAATATTATAAGAGTTCATTAACAAAATAAATATTTTCATGCGCTAGCTAACAATGAATGGTTTGAGGGTTGTATTAATAAGAGATAATTTAAGTTAAAAGACAAAAATAATTTGTTTAATTCATTAAAAATATATTAGGTTTTTTTTTTGTCGACTTTCAGAAACATATTTATTGGTATCGATGAGTATTTAAATAATCTAATAATGAAAATGACATTTTCTTGGCCAGCTGAACATTAGAATCCCTTAAAGGCAATTTTCCCATAATCTTGCCGACAGCATCTTCGAGATCCTATTTATGCTT